CCCCGCCGGACCCCATCTGCTCGGGGCGGCGGGGGCGGGCAACCCGCGCCTCGCTGAGCGCTGCCGTGTCCCCGCAGGCGCCGGAGGAGATGAGCTCTCTACGGTGCCCCTCCCGGGGCACGAAGGACCGCGAGGTGGCGGCGAGCCTGCGCTACCGCTCCGGCACCGGAGCCGGGGAGCTGCCGGCCGCCGCAGGGGGCGTTCCGCCGCCCCCCGCCGCCCCTTTGGCCCTGCAGACGGCTCCCCACCTCCTGGCCAGCATGCACCTCCAGAAGCTCAACAGCCAGCACCGCGCCGCGGGGGGAGTCCGGCGCTCCCAGGAGCCCCGCTCGCCACCCGGCTGGGGCTTGGGGACGCGGGGCGCGGGCAATCTCTCCCCCCCGGCCGCCGGCCCCGGCATCATCGACTCGGACCCGGTGGACGAGGAGGTGCTCAGGGCGCTGGTGCTGGAGCTAGGCCTCGACAGGGCGGACGAGCTGCCGGAGCTCTGGCTCGGCCACCACGAGTTCGACTTCCCCGCGGACTTGCCGGCCGGCTGCTGAGACTAAAGGCGGCTGGGGCCGGGGCCTCCCGCGTCACCCCACCGGGGACCCGCCGTCCGGTGCTGCTGAGCGCGGAGAGCGCCCCGGCTTGCCCCACGGGGGGCGAGGGGCGGCGCTGCGGGCGGCGCGGGGGCGCAGGGAGCGCTAGGAGCCCGGCCGAGGGTGGGAAGGGGCCGCCCTCGGGGCTGGAGGAGGGGTGGGGCCGCGCTGCCCGCCCCCAACGCGGAGCCGCCTCGCTGGGCCAGGCAGGCGGAGGTCTCAAGGTGCTGTCTAATAAAATCTGGAAGGAGCCTTATCCCCCCGGCTGTGCCCCTTTCCCTGTCCAGCTCAGCGCTGGGGTTGTGGGGGGACGACAAGGAGGTCCGTCTCCGCGGGGGACCCCGTAGGAAGCGGCCGGGGTGGGAGGAGGGTCTGCCCCCCGCAGCTCCCGAGCCTCCTCCCAGCTTTACGGTGGCGCCAGGGGTGCCCTGCGCGGTGTCCCCATCGTGTCGCCCCCGAGGACGGGACCTCTGTCCCGCCCGCGCCCCGCTGCGGAAGCGATGCTGCGGGGACCTGCCGGGGGCTGCCCGGTGCAGGGCCGCTCCTCTCAGCTGCCTGGCGGGGCGCGGGGGCCTGGGGGTATCCCCGGGGTCCCAGCTGGGGACCGCTGGCCCCCGAGCTGCTTTCGGGAACGGGCACTAAGGCCCGGAGGGTTGCGTGGGGTCCCAGCTCCACCCCGGCAGGGGCAGTGGGCGAGGGGAGGGCGGTGGCCCGGCACGCGCGTTCCTCCCGGCTCGGCTCCCGGGGCAGCCGGGGTACCCGGAGTCTCCGACCCCCCCCGCCCCACCCCGGAGGGGGGGTGGGAGAGGGGGGCTGTACCACCCCCGAAACCCGCACACCCTCTCCCGAGCCGCAGGGGCACAACGTGGGGGGCCGTCCCACGGCACCGGCAAGAGCCGGGAGGGATCCGGTCACCCTCCGACGGCTTCCCCCCGTGCCTCCCCGGCACGGACACAGCCGCCCGCTGCCTGGAGCGGGGTGCCCCCGTCAAGGCCGCTTGCAGCGGGGAGGGGACGGGGCACCCCACCTCGCTGGTGGGGGCTGCCCAGACCCCTCCTCCCTCACCTCCCGTGGGCAGCAAGTCAGCAGGTCACCGCGGGGCGGGCCGAGCCGGTCCCGCGGGGGGCGGAACACGCACCCCGGCTGCCCTGGCACCGGACGGCGCTGGACCTCCGGGCCGGCAGGGGGCGCTCCGTCGCGCGGCCGCCGCGCCCCTGGATATCAACCGCGGACCGGAAACGGCAGTCCTTTCCCGGCGGAGCGCAGCCATGGTGAGAGCGCGGCGCGGCTGCTTGCCGCCGCCATCCGCTGCCATCCACTGCTCGCTGCGGGCTGCCG